AGGGGTTTTATTCCCTCCCTAACTTCAGGGGAAAATCCCTACCTGGGGAAACAACCTTTCTCGGAGAGGTGACCTTGGTTAAAACACATAGTGCCAAGAAGGTGAGCAAACATATTAAGAACAGTATGCCATATATGCCAGGTGCCTTGAAACAGCAAGGATGGACCGGCTCCCGGCACAGGCCGGGCTGAGGGACCCCCCAAATTCTTGTGTACCGGGCCCCTAGTTTCTATGATAAAAGAGTGACCTGTTTCTTCTGACCCTGACTCAGCGTCTCCCTCCTTTCACTTCTCACTGTGCTTTCCCGGCGTCGGCACTGAGGGGCAGGGGGGCTTACGTGGTCCATCAGCTCCCGGACCATCCCGTTCCACTCGCCCTGGTCGTCCTGGGCTCCGTATCTGCCGTCGGGGACGAGTCTGACGTCGTAAATGAAGCCCAGCATGGAGGACAGCTCCTTCAGAAGGTCCAGGCAGTACCCTTCGAACCTGTCATTTCCGAAAAGGGGCTGGTCCGACTTCCTGTACATCACGTAGGGCTCCTCCTGCCAAACAGACCGGGCGGGGCGCCTGTCACAGGAGGCAGAGCCCCGCCCAGCGCCATCCCTGCCGGCGGCCAGTGTCTCACAGTGACTCGGAGACAGGGCGGCCAGCACCCACCACCCACCTCCCGCCTCTGCTGAGGCTGCTCCCCGTACTCTCCCGTATAACGTCTCTCCCTCGGCTCTTTATTTATTTTATTTTTATAGATACTTTTATTATTTCAGAGAGAAAGGGGGGCGAGGAGAGAGAAACATCGATGATGAGAGGGAGTCATGGATCTGCTGCCTCCTGCACGCTCCCCACAGGGGATGGAGCCTGCAACCCAGGAGCGTGCCCTGACCCGGAATCCAACCCTGACCCCCTGGCTCACAGGCCGACGGTCAGCCCCTGAGCCCCGCCGGGCGCACTCCCTCCTCTCTCTTTACGTGACATTTGAGTCAAAGGTGTGAGGGGGCCTGAGTGGTCACGTCCCCTGGGGTCGGGCAGGGGCCGTGGGGCAGACTGTACCCACACCCGGCTTCCTGGGCGCGACCCGCCCGCCCTCCTGGCTTTCATCTAAGAGCTGCCCTGCCCACAGGTGAGTCTAAATCGGCTGAGAAATCTCTGCTTCAAACTTCCCGCTGTTCTGCCTCCTCTCGGCTCAGGCCCACCTCAGTGCCTCCCTCGTCCCCTGGGTATTTGCCTGGCTTCCTCCGGCATCTTACAGCCTTTCTGTCTGTTTAAATCACCAGCTTCGTTTTCTTCATCGACTCACCTGAAACCTCACATCTGCCAAAGCCTTGCTTCAACGACAAAGCCCCTCGCCTACGAACAATGGGCCTTTTCTTAATGATTGAAACCCGAATGCTCACTTGGCTGATCCCAGTGCCGTTTTATTTTATAAACGTCTATGAGTTCCTATCAGTTCCTCTGCTGCCGCGTGTCCTGTTATTTCCCAGCTGCGGGGGCCCCACTGGGGTTCACCCTCGAGCCCTGACAGACACAGAGCTCTGCGTCCGGGGCGGCGGAGAGAAAAGTCGCAGCCACAGGGAGACTGCCCGCTCCATTCGGACGAACAAGCCTCACGAGTCAGCGGCTTCAGAAACACACAGCCCGACATGAGGGACTGGATCCAACGAGCAGGAAGGTGACGATTCTAGGCGTGTGGCTCCTGCCCCGGATCCCGGGGGTCAGGGCTGGGATGGGGGGAGGTGGGGGGATGGGGGCTGGGAAGTGGGGGGCACCTGGCAGGTACAGCGGCTGGACAGGTGTGCGGTCGGCGCTCCAACAGGAAGCAGGAGGTGCCCTCAGCTGGGCTTTGAGGAGCGAAAATAAAGGGCTACTTGCCCAGGTTTGGGCAGGGGTCCCAGGATGCAGGGGAGAGAGGGTGCCACCCCTGGGACCCGCCTTACCAGGAGGTGGTGCCACTCAGGCTGAGGGGGCGGGGCAAGCCTGGGCCTGGGGTTCCAATGGGCGGGGCCTGGAGGCTGGATCATGGA